GAAGTACTGTTATAAATGCCATTACAAAGTCCTGCGCAGAATTTTTTAAAAAAAAATAAAAATTCTGCGCAGACCTGTGTATTATTGCAAATCTGCGCAGAAATTTTTATTTTTTTTTCTTCACAGATCGCTGCCAGGTTTGAAGATCTTTGAAAAACTTCGGACCCAAAGATCTGTGCAGAACTGCGCCCTCCGATGTTACCCGATGAATTAGAAAAAAGAAAAGTAACAAGTCAAGTTATTAATCATAAATAATTATCTTATAATTTTTCTTTAATATCTGATATAATTTTGATTATAAATTTGTAATAGTCTAATAATATTATTATTTTTGTATTATATACTTATATAGCCTATGTGCAAAATACCAACTGAGATAGCAATAATAAAAAATATAATAATAAAAAAGCTTTGTTAATAAAACTATTTTGAACTCATTATAATTATAATATATAACCTTCTTAATAATTAACTTAACTTGATCCATTAATTCTTCTTATAATTGTAAGAAGAGATCCATTTAAAGATTTTTTGCTATAAAAATACTGTTAAAAGAACTGAAATAACAATAATTCTTCAAGAAAAAAAGTTTATTTTTTACTTTGAGTACTATTTCTAATATTTGTTATATATTGATGTGTTATTAATGTTGTTTACAATATAAGAGAAGCACCAAGTATCAGATAATTCTTAGAATGAATGGGAAGTTGCTGTTAATTATTAAGTTTTACAAAATTATAATTCATTTTGATTAGATGAAGGGTGAGTAGGATGTCTCTCTAATAAATGAAAATCACTTGATACTTGGCGCTCCCCTAATAACAACTTAAATCTTTGTAATACAAAGTTGTCTTGAAATATATTAATAAAAATATTCATTGAAATTCTACAAAATAATACTTATTTCATAAAGTTATATTATTTTGGCTGGAAATTCTTTAAAAACTATAGATATTGTAATATATAAAACAACATAATTAGCAAGAGAAGGATATTGAGCTTTATTCGATTTAGTATGGTATAGCAACATACTTTGTATTATAAGGATGTTGGCATAAAAGCAAAATTAGCTTTCAGCGACAGTTACTATATAGCAAACTATATACATGCAAATTGATAAATTTGAGCGTGTCGATCCCTTAATTGATATACTTTGCTTAACGTCAGATCGTATATGATCGTCATAAATCTTACCCGCGCCATGTAATTTTATATAACATTTGTTAATCTGCCCACATCAGGATTTATCGTTAGGTTGATTCATAATAATTCAAATCATTCAACCTCCAATATTTTTGATGTAGTTCAACATATCGATATACTCTTCCCAAGAATTTATCAAAAATTGTCGTTATCAAACTCCACTAACATGTGTATTCATAAGATTAATTCATTAATTTGTTAATTATAATTTTAAATAATAATTTCCGGAATTTAAATTTATTAATAAAAAAAAATTTAAATAGTCATTTGTGTCTAAATCATAGAAATCAACAACAGGTTACCATTATTATAATTTGATGATCTTTTAATTTCTGTCACATACGACGGAAACAAATTGATTATTATTATGTCGCCTGACAAATTTTGAAGCATAAACACATTTTTGATAAACCATTATTACATTTTTTTACATAATTATTTATTATTCTATGTACAATCTTTACGCAACGATGATGATAAAGTAAATAATCTCATTCAGTTAGTTGTCTTTTATTACAATTCTACTATAAAAACATTTATATTTAAGGAAAAAAAATAATCGAAATATTATTGCTAAACAAAAAATTACAAGAAAAAAAAACAGACTGTAATGATTATGATGACGATGAGCTTTTTTTTTTGATACATGCATACACTCAATACTATGCACTGACACCTACTATATATACTATGGGGATTCGTGGTTAGACAACAAAGGAGTTCCTTCATTTGGTGAGCAGATATCTCTTTTGCAAATAGGACACTAAAGGGTAAAAATAATAATTGTTATCAAAAATCACTAAAAACTTCACAGACCATCGATCAATCGAAAATTACACTTACAAACTTCTTTCTTGTTGTTAACCAACTATCAATACATCCGACATGGAATTCGTGTTTACACGGCATAATTCTGAGTTCATCGCCATCCGCATAGTCATCGAGGCAAATTGCACATTCTTGTGGATCATTTTCTTGTCTTTTTGACTGGCGATATATTTTCCGCGGAAGATTGCACACTACTTGTTGTGGTGCAATGTCTTGTCTGTTTAATTGACGTTGACGAATACGCCATAGAACGTATATGAAAATCATAACCACCGTCGGTGATAAGATCACAACAATTATGACGTCCAATAATGGCCTAATATTTTATCGTTTAAATAGAGTAAAATGTAGATGAATAAACCTGTGAAACAAGAGACATAGCATATACGGTGATCAGATCCGGCATTACCACTGTAAAAGATCATCTTTTACGAGCATTATCAATATTGGATTTCCGCTTATTAATGAGATTGACCGAAGCTCACTATAATCCTTTTGTCCAACAAACACAGAAGGAATTTGAATATCTGAAGTGTTTCCTAAATGGCAATGATCATTATGAAATTATATAGTAATGATGATAATAAAAACAATTTCTAGACGTAAGAGTGAAAATGTGTATAATTGAATGCGTGTAATGACTCACCAGTAGCATACATAGTAATTAATCCGTTACGCTCTGGGTCGCCTACTACTACGGCTAATGCTCCTGAACTTTGCATATTTCGTACTTTTTCGATAAATGAACAATGACCACGTTCAACGAGAACTATTGCGGGAGTAACAAAAGGTTTTTCCAATGCTCGACATCCATTTATATTATCCGACTCAATCATGTCCAAGGGAATGAGATGCCCTTCAAGCCCATCTTCTGGTAGGCGTGGTCCAAATGCCGCTATGCGATCAAAGAAAGTAGCATTTGTTGCCTAATAAGATGTAACGTAACAAAAACATAACGTTAATGAGAAAATTACGAATTTTCGGGTACGAATTTGTAAGATATGACGAATATATGCCCGACTTCTAACATAATAGATGGCAAGAAGGAATCAAAAGAATTGAAATAGAATAATGCCATGATGATATTGGTGAAGAGATTTCGAAATTGTGTGAAATAAGAATTCTTAGAATTGATACCATTAATATAAGAAGGAATTACTCTCGGCGCTAAACATTCCCTGTTAAGAATTTTATCAAAATTTCACATTTTTCTTTGTGTTGTAAAGGTAAAAATTTTCTGAGTTAAGTATAAAATTTATCTTTGATAGTTGTCTCTAGAATTAACCTTTGTCCAGCGAAGTTCTATACGAATTCAAAGAACAGACTTTAAAAGAAATCTTACCACTACTATTAATGATGCATCCGCTACAACATTACCCAAATGGCACCAATGCGCAACAAACAGACAGTGTGTCAATACTAACAGTAATAACACTCGTTTAAACATTTTTATAAGCATTAAAAGATTCTATTCTTTTCGTAGTATGCCGACACTTTACTCTTTAATGAGACGAATTCTGTGTCTAAAATGTTGTTACTTCTATGGAAAAGAAAAACTTAAAACGATAAAATGAAAAAAAATAAATATTTAATTAGACCCTAAAATAAGCGTGAACGATAGCAACAGTGGTAGTGTAATAAAGGATTATGTCCGGATTTTGATGGTATCAAATCCATATCATCAGATTTTCTTTTTTTTTCCCATGATGCTCTCACCAAAATTTGATTTTTATACGGAGAACTAAACTTTGTGCACACTCGAGGAAAAATAATTTACAAATGAAATTGTTTATGTAATTTCTCTTGAATCCCTTGATCAGGTATAAGGTTACTATGATATCTATGATCAAATGGTTATCGTTTTTCTTTGACTAAATGAGCATTGTGCGCAGATCACGCTTAATATTTAATGACGTGAAAAGAATTGATCATCGAATTAATGATGACTGATTCAATTTGTGAGGTAAGATCATCGAAGGCGCAAAGAATAATTGCCCCGCATTCCCTAATCCAATTTTAAGATCACGATTATGTGTAACACGCAAAAACGAATAACTATAACTAGCTATGTAAAATTGCTCAGCGCGGAATTTTAACCTTTAAAAGCTAGTACCTTACCTAAAAAGAACTTGAAACTATTCCGCTTTGACCTCCCCCTAATAATGGTAATGGTAATTTCTTGAGTCTAATATCGATATTGATTTTTATTTTATGATGATTCTGATAGACTTGATAAATATATTTTGCTAGTTTTTTTTACAAGGTTATTGGGATGCTTTTAGGAATAAATCTATTTATATATCTTAACTTGACACAAGCAAACAGGTCGAAGGCCAAATAAATATGGGAATTATGAGATTGTCATTTTGGCAGGATGTCGCTTCTAAAAGGGCTAAATTAAATAAAATAAAATAACGCTATTAATATCACGTAAAATAAATTTCGAAGAAAAAGAGGAAAATTGATTTTCACCAGTTAATGTGACCACAAATATATACCATATCCACTATTTAAAAAAATAAGATAACAATCAATAAATAATGTATGATTATATTAGGCGTAAAATCTCTTCATACCTGCGAAAAAGTAAAAACTTGATCCGTAATCAAAAAACTATCTATCATCGCGGTGCCCAACAATACAAAAATAATAAAAGCTGCGGTTCCTTCAAAAGTTTTAGAGGTTCCGTGCCATCGTCGACGGCCATATTTTCGTCCTATTATCGATGCCTATTTTCACGCGTTATTATAACGTAAGATAATTACTTAATTGTATCTAAACGAAATTCGTAGATTTACCATGGAGTCGCCAAGACCAAGGGTAAGAATGCCGGATAGACCGGCAATTTTCGAGTTTCTGAAATTTATTTTCAATATAGTTATCAAAATTAAGCACGATTTTTTTTTGAATCGGTTCCTATCGAAAGAATACCAACCCTTTTAACCAAACGCATCCGGCGCATCCGACTAATAAATAAATATGACTTAAAATAGCGGGCCCAGCATCGCGATTATCCACAAACTCGCTTAAAAAGAGATGTAGTTGTTTCCCGACCGGAAAAACCGCAAAATATCTTAAGTATTCCAAATAGATAAGCGCGGAAAGCGCTATGCTGAAAGCTAGATCCATAAATAAAGGCTAATAATATAATAATAAATTCGGGTAAATGCCCGACGCTTAAAATATATTCAATAGATCCGCAAATAATCAAATTAAATTTGGATGCGACAACTAACATCAAGTAAATACCCGGGAATAAACATTGCCACCGCAAGAGCATGGAAGTACTTCCGTTTGGCGTTCAACGAAAAATGTTTTCGCGTGCGAGAGATATAATTGAACAGAAAAAGAGATATTCCAAGTGCCGCAATCCAATATATCATTAACAGAATTCGGGTGGATGAATCAACGATGAATTTAAAGATCCTAATTAAAAAAGAACAATTTATAATAAATAAACAGCGATCAAGATTAGACGTCAGAGTAAAGACAACGACTATATATCACACCAGTTATTAATTAAACGAAAAAAAAGCAAAGAACAATTGATCACCATAAATAAGGATTTGCTTTTAGTAACATCTGAACCCACTGCCCCAGACAGCAGAGCACAATAATAATAGTACCTCCATATATTATACATGCCGTCCATTTCTTCTCGGTTTCAAACGAGTGCGGATCTTTGGCTTTCCACATTGGTTGTTGCGCGAGGTATCGAGAACGAAATAAAAACGGTGAGAGTAAAATACCGATGAGTAGCATCCCAAGTATGAGTGCTATTTGAAAGATGGTTATTGGATGTGGGTCTATTTTCATATATTTCGGAAGTTCGATATATTCAAACTGTGTGTGTGTGCGTGTGTTTTTTTAATTAAATATACATTCAAAAAATTTGATTGAATCAGATCTTATTGAAACAGGCGAGTAGAGAGGAAATACCTCATTTACAGTAACAACCCATGCCTCAACAGCCAACAGCGTTATCGACTGCGCCACAATTGCTAGTTCACCAAACGTAAAGCTCTTTTTGAAGAGATATGCAATAGAGTATAAAGAAACGTGATAGAAAGTCTGCGAAAAAAGGATATATTGCCACGGTAATTCTATTATAGGATCAATTTTTTACGCGGTGCAAAAACAAATTAGAAAAAAAAAAGAATGAAATGAGGAAAATCGAAAATCGAAAGAATAACACGCACTTTTTAATAACGGTAATCTCTCGAAATTCGACAGAATAAGATAGATCATTATTGATAAACCACTGGTAATCGCTATAGTCCAAATAGTCGCTAACTTCTTTATGGTAAAATGTTTAGATAGAAACATATGAAGTATCACCCCACATCCTAACAAGATGCATAATTCCGTATTCGTCTGGATAAATTCTTTAAAAAATATTCAAAGTCATGAATAATAATAGAGACAGCGCGTAAACATCAAACACACACGCGCAACACAAACACATACCAATATATGAATCGTTTTTAGATGATTTATGAATATCGACCAATTTTGCAACTGACATTATGGGGATTAATAATGCGCCATAGAATGAACCATCATCCACTTCAGTTCTATTTTTTAAAAGTCGCGACGAAATCAAGAACACATGACGTATAAGTAAAGATCTTTCACAGTTCGAAAAGAAAATTTAACCCCGAGTAATTATCAAATAACATATAACTGGGCTGAACCTATAGCATTTCACATCAGTTCCCCATATTCTATGCCCTTCCTGTCTAGCGTTTGGGAAACGAATCGAATAAACACACCAAGTCCATACAACCAGTAATGCCAAATCTAATGAATTGGATAATTATTATTATAACAGTTCAAGGCCTACGGGTAAAACTCGATATAGTAAACTCTCGATACAAGAAAATAATCTATTTAAAATCTCAATCTCCTAAGAACATTAATTAAGAATCTCTTGATTTGTGGGATCCAAAAACTTTCTTATATCGAGAGTGAGTTGTACATGTAATTTTATTTGAAAATTTCAAATGCAAGATCGGTGCAGCTTAGAGAAAAAAAGATTCTGACCAAACCAAGTTGAACGCTACCTATTCCTTCAACATATCCATTTTTAATACTAGGCATTGTCTGTAACAACCTAACTGTTGCTAAAAGCGTCGTGGCCACCATAATTAACCTCTCCACGAGACTGGCAGTAGACAAGTGTGGTTGCTGAGAATGTGACATGCCTTGCTTTTTTAAATGTTCTAGACTATTTTTCCCAAGGAATTCCACACCACCGTTCACCACCATCTCACCGTCACTACTACCGCTACTGCCAGTCTTGGAGAGCGAAAGTAAGCTCTTCTTTCGCGCAACTAAAAAGTTGCAATGGTACTTTACAGTAGAACCCAGATTAATTGAAGAAAGTTTTAAAAAAAATTAGCATAGAAGGAAGGAATAAATGAATAGTTCTCGAGGAATAAAAGTGATAAAAATCTTGGCATTGGTCGTACTTCATTTGCGAGATAAATCTGTGAGAAAGTACACGTGAAATTAGACCTCTAATTGTTTGACACATGAGTTGTGTATATATTATTAATCTTGCGTTATCATTGACTTGATTCAGTAAATAACAATTCCAATCTGATTGTCTTGAACAAGTTGCTTCGCTGAGCATGGAAGTTGAGAATAACACTAGTGATTCAACAGTAGAAAATGTTCAATTATTTATTCGTTCCCCAACCACCTTGCCTGAAGACTTTTCAATAAATGCAACACCCAACAAGTCCATTCTTGACCTGAAAAAAACTTTATTTGAGGAACACCCGCTCAAGCCAAAAATCAAGGAACAGAAATTAATTTACAGAGGACGAGTATTAGATAACTCGGAAATCCTTGCTGAAATCTTGAAGGACGGTCTGTCCACGGCACAAACTTTTCATTTGGTCGTTAAATCGTCTTTTGAAGGTGAATTTGCAAAAATTGCTGCACCTACTGTAACTCCCTCTTCTAGACCGTCATTTTCATGGCTTCGTCGACGTGGCGGTGATGCAGTTAATAACAATTCAACAACAGCAGCGTTAATTTCTCCAAATGGAGAGACTATGACAGCTTCAGCAACAGCAACGGGGAATCAACCAATGAGACATGCCGCTACCCAATATCCTCAAATTATATCAATGTTACCTAACCAATATGACAACAATAATAACAACAACATTATTTCACAACATAATTCTCAGCAAGATGCACAGTCATCATCGTATCAAAATATCGCCGGTTTGCAACCACAACTACTGCAACAAATGATCCCTTTCGCGTATCCAACGCATTATTATGTCATGATCAAGTAAATAAAATACTTCGTTTTCTGATCTTACTTTCGACATCTGAAATTGTTTCTAATTTTTATCTTCTCTCAAAGTGGATTACCGTATATGATGCCTGCGGGACCATACATCCAACAACCGTATTACTATCACCCGCACAATCTAAACTATAATAATGCACTTTACCAGCCACAATTCCCTCAACCTCAGCCTGTCTTTCCCGCTCAACAACAGCCACCAGATCCAAACAACGATATTGGGGCAAGAAATCGACGTCGTGCTGCAACTTTCTGGCTTCTATTGAAATTAGGATTCCTGGTGTACATCTTTTCTCAACATGCAAGCATAGAACGTGTCATTCTACTACATATCTTCGCGCTTGTGATCTTCTTGTAAGTATAATATTAATTTTCCGTAGGAGGGAAAGTATACGTAATAGGAACTTTTGCGTCAAAAAGAGAGAATTAATTCATATAAATCTTGAATTATAGATATCAAACTGGTCGATTGCGCATTGTACGAAGACGAAGACACCGAGTTCCTCCAATAAATCCACCAAACAACAATATCAATAATAATAACTTGTTTGGTATGAGATAACAAGGATTGATTTATTTATTTTATTTATATATAAGCCATTATATTTATTTGTGCGCGCACAATCAATTAATTATATTTTTCGTGGCGTATATGATAACAATTTATAATTCTCGTAATCAGCCCAACAACCACCACCACCAATTCCACAAACAGTCATGCCGCAAGATAGAGGAACAACTACGTCAACGCCTCCTACACGACAAGAAACACAAAGCACTGGTTCAGGGTCCGGCTTTGAACCTTCTGCTCAACCACATACCTCAACTAGTTACGCCGCGTCTTCCGCCGCTATGTCTTCAACAAACCTCCAGAATCACGCCTCAACTTCCAACAATAACAATGGCGTTCACCAAGCATATAACAATAATGAAGATGCTGCTGCTGCGCTAAATCAAAATAATAATAATAATGCAGCACAAGACGGTGAAGCAAATAATAACCATTCATTTACCTGGCGTGATATCGAGCATGGAATATGGACTTTTATCGCTTCATTGATTCCCACAAATGCACCCGATGGGGGAGGGCAACAAGATGATCAGATTGCAATGTAGTAATAATTGATAAGAATAATGTGGCTGTCAAAATCAAAACCATTTCATTATTTATTTAATTCATTCATTAAAGTAAAATAATTTTGCGTGAACAAGAAAGATAAACACATGAGCGTTTCTCATTTTAAATAGTTTCTCAGCTTTTAACATGAAAACATGCTCAACGTGTCTAGAGATTAGTAGATAGTGATTTTCACTGATTTGTCCTACATGAATAATTAGCCAGATCGGCCACACATTTTGTTATGTAAGTCTATTTAAATTATGACTGACCAGAATTCCAAAAAAAAAAGACGGACAGATGACATTCGGGAATACAAAAATATATGTGATTTATTATTGTCTTGGAGGCGCATACCTAAAATTAGAAAGGGGGAAAAATTAAAAATTTCGAAACCATATGCAATATAAACTAATAAATTACAATAAATTTATTACACATACACAATCTTTCTAGATTTGAGTACACTCCACCGATTTCGTTTCAACCAAATCGATAGTATAAACAAAGCCGATATGATAACTATTGCCTTTGCTCCCATTTTTTTACGCTCATCGTGTTCCGGTTCCGAAGCCCAACAAAGGAACGTTGTCACATCCTTTGCCATTTGTGAGGAAGTTGCAGGGGTTCCTAAAAATAATAGCTCCCAATCAAATAAATATTCCAATTAACTTAAAGATAAAATAATAATTATGATATACACACCATCTTCGTATTCAACCAAACCATCAAATAAAACGCGTGCCATCGCAATAGCACTGCCGGGGAAATAAGGATTATAATTTAGCCCTTCTCGGAGTTGGACACCAGCTGGTGGGTCAACATAGCCTGTGAGCAGTGAAAATATATAATCCTATAAGATAAATATAAAATTCTTTTAAAGATTTTTATTATAAACTCAATGAGAATGTCAACATGTCACATATAACGTGATGATTGGATTATTATTTTTTACATACCGCTCCCCCATGACGTGCTTTAACTATCAATGAAAGATCCGGTGGAAGAGCTCCAGCATTGCCAGCACGTGCTGCCTCATCGTTGGGATATGGACGTGGCATATAATCGGATGGTTTCCCCGGCCGTTGAAACATATCACCCACGTCATTTGGTCCATCAGTATATTCGAACTCCTGAGCCATGGCTTTTACTTCCTCGACTGTATGACTCACACCGACTAATGAACGCCAAGCGATTCGATCAAGTGAATGACATTGCGAGCAAACTTCTCTGTAGACTTGATAACCACGACGAATACTGTATGTTTAATGAACACAATTTAAAATCTATTATTATTTACTTTTTTTTTTCGAGTAACTGGATGGAAGAATTCATGCAATCAATATTCCGAGTATTTTTAATAAGAGTTTTCAAGAGGAAACATCATATGTCCGTCATTTGATCTTAGTCAGACGAACCTATGGTTCCCCGAATAAAATTGTTGTCTGGTCCTCTTAACTCTCTTTTTGGCCTTTGATTTCGAAATTCAGTTCATTCCTCGATGTGGGAAAACTTTACCTCACCTGGCATGATCAAAAGTGCTGAGTGCACCTTTATGTGACCAAGGATAGGCAGGTGGGTGTAAACCCTCATCAACCATATTGGCATGAATCGGGTTCGAATACAAATAATAACCGGTTCCTCCTATGACCATGGCGACTGTTGCAGCAGATGCTCCTATAGCTCTTATATTCTATTTTATTATGTAAATGAGTGGTGAGTGAATGATGATTGGTGAGTGAATGATAATGACTTCACATTAGATCCAAATGAATTGATAGTTAAATTATGTTTTGTTGTTTTGTTTTGTTTGATTTTATTATTATCACGATCAACAAGCGAAACAATAAAAAAGAATATAAGAATAGAAACTAAAGAATGAATTAAACATAAAGGTTTAATAACGAGGTTTCAGGCCGAAATTTTGTTTACTGTCTCCTTATGGAACACTCCAGGTACTGCAACGGGAATATGAAAAATCCAAGATACGAACCGACTGACCAGCACCAGCATTAGTAAAATTAAACCGAGCCTATAAACAAGCGTCAAATAGTGGTCTTTAGGCTATTTGCGAGAAATACAATGTCAGTCTGAAGTCGTCTTACTTGAATACCGTTACTTTGTACCCATCGTTGCAAAGATCTCCTTGTGGACTGACTTGAAAGCCTGGAAAACATGAATATAGAAAAAAATATCTGAGATTATGATAATAACCAACGATTTGAAAAAAATCGTATGTATTGATTATCACTAATTATTAGCCATTATCGTGTCCGCGGAATTTGAAATTTAAGCTTTAATACAACGATGCATACATTGTTTAATCAAAATAATTACTTTTATTACTATTTTAATTTTATTATTAGAGATTAATTATTATCTGCTACGACCATTCATTCCACTTCGAGCTCCTCCAATACCACCACCACCATGACTTGTTGCATCAGAGGGAAATCCATTGACTATACTTGAGGATTGTCCTTGCACTGGAATCCCATTTAATTGCTGCTGTTGCTGTTGCTGTCCTTGTCCTTGATCTTGTTGATTTTGCATTTCTAATTCTTTTCGAGCCGTTTCCAATGGATCAACCGGACCACGAGAACTACGCACATGTAAGTTGGACCACGCATGAAAATGCCAGTATTGTACGATGTGTACCCAACTCGCCGTGTCCTCCACTTTCATAGAGTCACGAAATGTCTCGTTTTGTAATAGATCAAGAAAATGAAGAGCATGTGGATATCTTTTTTTTTTTTTGAAAAAAGCATTCGTTATTATTATTATTATTATTGTTATTACTTAGCTAGATGAAAATCATGATGATGATGATGATGAATACTGTGTATTTGTTTCTTTATTTTTTACTCCTTCATTTTGTTATAATAAATGATCTTTTTAGTTTTGATTTAACAGATCAGCCTAGGTTTTTATATGCAGACGTACATGATGAATTTTGCGTATTCGGGTCTTTTCCAGTATTGTAAATATTTGAGGTAATTAATGAACGCAGGATCGTCCAGAAATCCTTTCTGCGCTAAATCTTTGGTTTTCATTGATTCATTGCATGAGAAATTAAATTTATTGAATAGGATTGTCGAAAAATCAAAGTGAAACGACAGATTGCAAAAGAAAACGGGTTGGTACAAACGAGTAATATAAAAAGGATTCGAGATGCTCTGTATGAATTCCAATTCTAGCAAAAAGCGTTCTCGTTCAGGATTGATCTCTTCTGTTTCCATATTTTGATCTAAAGATTGGGGTTGTTGCTGTTGCTCTTCTTGCATCGCTTCAGCCATTTTTCGTAAAGAAAATGAAAGCTCGTTTATCAATCTTCTGCATATGAACAACAATGAAATAGCATCAGATAAAGTCATGATCATCTATCAAGTAGATCCGAGGATCAAAACAAAAAATTTCCCCTTATCTTTAAGAGTCGTTAAAATCCTTTAAAAATGGCAATTGCTCCCATCACAGGAAAACTCCGAAGAATACTCATTAGGGACATCTCAGTTTCCTTCGGCATTGGAATTGCTGGCGCTTATGCGTACTGGTATGGCATTCATGTTCCGGAAGCACGGAAGCGAGAAGCTTATTACGCGAAACTTGCAATCGAGAAGGGAGAGCAACATAAAATTCTTTGACGTCAAGTAATAAAATTCGGTGTATGCCAACATTGAGGTAGTATGCTTGTACTTTTTGTAATGATAAATTTGTAATTGGTTTATTCTTATCCAACATGAATTCTTTACTTTTAAAGGTTTCTCTTTCGATTGCTATCAATTTCGAACATGCAAAAAAACGCGATTATTTCTATCATGTATCTTCATATTTTCTTTGTTAATTAATTATAAGAGCTAAAAAAAAACAAATTTTATATATTACATGAGGCACGAACGTGATAACCAAATACATAGCACTATTTACATATCGAAATCTTTCAAAAGTCGCATTGTCGTTTCAAAAGCTAAAATCGCGGAGGCGTTTGTAGGAAATGAGCGTAATAGACATGGTGCGAAGCCGCGATAGAATCCAGAATAACCCTCTATATATTTGAAGGATAATTTTTATTAACAAAAGTAATCATTATTACAAATATTTTAGTAATCACTTATCGTTTACCTGTTTGATACAAATGTCTAGCACAACTTAACATATTTGGAAAACGGACCAACTTGACATCCGGTTGTGTCATAATTCGGTTTTTTACCACATCTTTTTTTAGCACAAATGATTTAGTAACAAATTGTTGAACGATTGTAAATCAAATTATTTATTTACCGAACGGGAATGAACAACACCAAAAAGTAGTGGCGCCTAGCCCCCCAGCAATAAAATTAACAGTTCCCTCGTTAAATTTCATTTCTCTCAACCAATTGGAGTAGAGCTTTAGTTGATTTAGAAACGGAAACAATAAAAGATTTATTATATCAATTTAATAACAAGTTCAATGATTTATAAATTCCTACCTCGTATGTGCCCCACCATACTGCGAACCAACTATATATGTTTATTGTGGAAGCTTTAAGAATTTTCTTATTCGACAATTCTTATAAGAAGCAAACCAACCCACCTCCTAAATAGCAATGTTTCCGTAAGACCTTTCCATAGGCCAAAAATACCATTATTTCTGATCTTTAATCATCCCAAACAAGAGGAAAAATATATTCAACAAAAAAAAAGAACACGGAAGGTGATAAAAATAATAGATAACATATTCTTACTATTTTACGAGCACAATCAATAGGTCCATTATAAAGCTTTGTTGGAGCGTCATACTGTACTTGTAATCGTGCCTTAATTCGAAATTTCTCACGTTAATCAATAAATGAAACAGCAATCCCAATAATCAGAGATTAATAAAAAAAAAAATCACCTTAATATGTTCAACTGGTGTCGCAACAAATGACACTGTAAGCCCAGCACCTAATAAATTACAATCATAAATATGTGAATGGGATGATTGCTAAACAATCACAAACAAACAATTACCAAGACCAGCTAATGCATTTTGAGGAATAGTCAGTTTAACAGTTGGGTCGTTTTTTTGTAGAAGAAGACGATAATTGTGAAGGGAACCCAACCTTTGCAATCATTGCACATAATAAATAGGAAGAACAATGTTGATTCAAAAATTAGGTGAAAATGTTACGAGAAATGCGAGTTTCATTACTTACAATATACTGTCCATAAAGACCCATCCAATTAGAGGAGGAGTTGCACCTAATAGAGGTTTCCAATTGATTACACACAAAAAGATAATCGCATTACTATGAAAAAGACTTTAATTAATTAATTACCCTTATATAAGGCACGAAGCCCTTCCTATTAAGTAATTAATGAAACAAAAGCATTAGCCAAAAGTATGACACGACTATCATATGGAATTAAAAAAAACTTCCTTTTGAATAGTTGTAGTAAGGCAATGAATTGGTCCACGAAACCGTCCATCAAGGCCAGAGGTTTGTAGACGCACTTTAATTGTATCTGCGCAGAACAAGAAGCAAACTAAATTATCCGAATACACTATCGTTATTAAAATTGACGATAAATGTAATGATAGATACCAAACGGGTGACCAACACATAGTTTAGTCACTCCGGACGTAACACCAGCCAGAAAGCCTCGAATACGGTTCGGTTTCTCTGTCACTTTCTGTTTTTGGGTTGTCTCTATTTTCTTTGTTGATTGAAGGATTTCTTCAACAATAACAGTCTTTATTTAATAATGCAAATTGCATCAAGAAAAAGGGTTGTTTTTGTTTCATTAATTACCTATTGCCTGACTACTCATTTTATCAGATTTAGAGTTTGTCCCATTGTCCCAAATAATTTTTGATCATCGTACGTTGATGACTCATAAAAGAAAATCTACGCATTGAATCATGATAAATTGCTTGGAAACTTGCAACGCAAATTAAAATGGCAACGAAACCAATTCCTTCAGAGTGCCCAATGCGTAAACATACTTCAACCTCAAAAGTTTCAATAGAACAGCCAGAACATTATGGCATAGATGATAATAACACTGATGATAATAATAAATCCTATCAAAATAGCTGTCCGCGTCATTCAGGTGATGCATTATCGCCCGACAACCAAATCCCAAAGCTAACTCAAGAGCCAGCACCGGGTCAAACCATTCCATTACCGACCTCACGTGTAATTTCATCAATTCCAAAAGCAAAAAGTAAAGAGTACTGGGAGTATCCGTCACCTCAACAGTTTTATAACGCACTTGTGAGAAAAGGGTGGGAAACCCCCGAGGAAAGTATTGAAACTATGGTGGACATTCATAACTTTTTGAACGAGGAAGCATGGAACGAAATATTGAAATGGGAGGGAATGAGAAAACGGTAGGTTAATAAATAAGGGAAGTTTCTGTTCGGTCTAAACTAATTTAATTACAATTAATTAATTGTCCTTTCGATAAAAAAAGTGATTGTGATCGTCCAAAGTTATTACGGTTCCGTGGTCGACCACATGAATTAAGCCCCAAAGCAAGAATTATACAATGGGCAGGAAAGATTTTTCCTTCTCTCGGGTATACAACATTATGGTCTCTATTTTAAGATTACATACGAAATATATGCTTTTAAATCTCTATTTTCTTTTTCGTAGTACACCACCGCCATTTGATAGACACGATTGGACGATTGATCGATGTGGTAAGGAAGTTCGCTATGTAATAGATTACTATGCTGGGCCAGATGAAGGAGATACTCCGGTATTTTATTTGGATGTACGGCCAGCGTTAGATTCTGTCGACAGTGTAGTGGATCGCATTAGATTAGCAACTAAGGAAACTTTTGAACAATTAAGGGCGAGAGCTCAAACCGGTAAAACGGAAGAGCGATAGATCACATCATCAAAAACCAAGCTATTGATAACATTAACATTTTCACCATCGTCTAATTATAGAAATATAGAAATATAGAACATTATTATTTATGTTATGATAGAACGTTATTATTTATGTTATGAAAGAATAATATGTTGAGGATGAACATCATTTGAGTGAAATTAAATATATTAATTATATCTTTTATCGTTTATTATCAGTTATGTCATTATTTTTTTACAGAACGAAGGGTACAAAGATGCTACGACTACTTCTACCATGAAGTAATATTAACCGTCGGTTCAGGTTCTTGTTCATATTCAATTTCAACATAAGCTCCTCCTAAATTGATTTTCATTTAAAATTAATTATTAAAAAAGGCAGATAATCAATATTAATAAAAATAACCTACGTTTCTTTCTTGGCTCTTTCTTTTTTCTCGAAATTTTTCTTTCGCCCTGCTATACAAAAAAAAATGTATTACGTTATAATTATATATATAATAATTATATATAATAATATTACCATGATCATATCTTCTTCCTCGCTCTCGTCATCAGATGATCCAACACTTCCATCAATGCTTTTACTGATATCTGATGAATCATCGTTTTCTTCCTCTTCTTCAATTATATCTTCCATATCATCAATTTCTTCACTATTATCGGAAATAAATTCTCGCTCCTAAAAAATATAACCCATAACTAATTGAAAATAATTATTTAGAATAAAAACCAAAATAAAAGTTACAATCATTAACCTCCTCATTGTTCAAATCCTCTACTTCACTCTCACTTGTCAAATCATCCTCTGCTTCGACTTTATCACCCTCCAACACGGATCGCCAAACATCTTCATTCACATTAAGCGGTGCATCGCCATACGCTTTGCTTTTCAACCGATTTATCAATTCTTTCTCGATTGCTTTTTCCAATCGTGCGGCTGCCTCCGCTTTTCTCTCGCGGGTTGCTTCACGTTTTTCTATTTTCTTTTTTATCCCGATTAGTTTTGGTCTAAGTCAGTAGTAACAAAAAGATGCCAGAAAAATTATTTGAAGAATCAAAAATAGACAGAATGAATAGACTCGTCAAGTTGGTATAAATTGAACTAACCGAGCTTTTAATCTCAACTTCCGCATTCGTATTAAATATTGAGTGATTTTTGTTAACCGTTGCTTACACTTGTGAATTAAGAAATTCGGCCAGTCAAGCAATGCATTGTCTACCTTTTTTTAAAAAGAATTCTATTTTATTATTGATATATTTTAGCCATTATAAAGTATAACTGTAAGTTTACACGAATGTTCGTTACTTGTTCAAGCGCCCGTTGATAATTTTTGGATAACTTGATTCTTTCCCACATTTTCGCGGGAGTATGCGCTCTTTCAGGTACTTTTGTATATAGATAAAGTATACCTAATGAGATTAAAAAAAATAAATTTGAATAATTACTATATTCGTTTAGAATAAAGCTTCAAAATTACCTTCTTTCTCGCGAACTGTAGCATATTGGCTATTAGCAAGTGGGCATGACTGCCTACTACAAAAACCGGTGACATTATACTCATTACGGCAAAAATTTTGTGTTATGGTTCTATGTGCGGAAGAATAAATTAGATACTCGGAGAATTTGCTAAAAAACATCATTTGGTTTTAACGTACTTTACTTTATACGAGCAGAATTGTTGATTTATAACTTGCCAGACCACTTCGTCAGACATAATTGAATAGAATCGAGATGCGTGTTTTTCAATTTTTTTTGGATTTTAAAAATAGGTCACATGATTATACGGAAATATATAGATTGAACAGATTGAACAGCTACTAAATCAATCCCAATCCGTATGTTGGATTGATGATACATGTGTTACCTCGGAAAATTAATAAAGTTAATATGCATGATATCATAAATGCAAATTATCAGGTGATAACTTTCGGATAGTTCGAAGATCAGCCCACTTATAATTTTCATTAGATGGACGTCCCAAAACATAAAACGTATCATACTCTCTTTTACAATAGAGGAACATGCAAAGAATAATATTTTCGAGAAATGCGAAAAGAGTACCGTTTGGGAGTGTTTATGTGCAAAGAAGGGTAAAACGTGAATTTTTAATATTTCTTGGAAATATCAATATAAAATTGTCTTTTTTATAGAATATCATGACTAATCAATAAATGTTAATTCTAGGCTTTAGCCTCGGTAATATCAAAAAAGGCTCCGTTCAATGAAGAGTGGGTAAATCTTGTCAAAAAAGAATTAAAGGGAAAAGATCCTGAGAAAACATTAACATGGCATACGTCTGAGGCGAGTCTTCGAAGAATTTAGCTTTTCATTTAAAAGATCACGATGATTTAATATTTCACGATGAATAATAGGGCATTGATGTGAAACCTGTTTACACAAAAGCCGACGCGGAATTTATTCAAGACGAAATACCGGGGAAATTTCCATATACCAGAGGTCCTTATGCTTCTATGTATACCGCTAGGCCATGGACGATTCGCCAGGTTAGAAACTTGACTCACTAATACAAAAAATCCTATCACGCCACTGTGATCAATCACGTGATTTTAGTTACGCGTTTTGAGCCAATAATATTGGTTTTACTCACGTTATTAATAACACCATAGTATGCTGGTTTTAGTACCGTCGAAGAATCAAATGCTTTTTATCGAAAAAATCTTGCCGCAGGACAACAGGGTTTATCTGTTGCTTTCGATTTAGCTACGCACCGTGGTTATGATTCGGATCATCCTCGTGTCGTAGGAGATGTCGGTATGGCTGGTGTAGCTATAGATACGATAGAAGACATGAAGGTATTTTATCATTATTGTAAAAATGTAATTATTTTTAATTAATTACAAAATTTTTGTAATAAACAGATCCTTTTTAGTGGTATTCCTCTAAACAAAATGTCGGTTTCCATGACAATGAACGGTGCAGTGTTGCCAATTTTGGCAATGTTTATAGTGGCTGGATTAGAACAGGGTGCAAAATTAGAAGAACTTTCAGGAACTATTCAAAATGATATTCTAAAAGAGTTTATGGTTCGAAATACTTTCATATATCCACCTGTACCCTCGATGAAATTAATTGGTGATATATTCTCATATACTTCGCAGGTAGATATTTATTTTGTTTTATTTATACGAACGCCAAATGGATCATACTTGATACAAACTACTTTATTTTAGCATATGCCTAAATACAATTCGATCTCGATATCAGGTTATCATATGCAGGAAGCTGGGGCCGATAATGTGCTTGAATTAGCATTTACGGTTGCCGACGGTATTGAGTATGCTAGAACAGGTAATTATTTAGTATCAAAGACATTCCTTTCTCTAATGAATGTCCTCTTTAGACTGATGCATATAATGTACGTTCATTCAGGTCTCGAGGCTGGAATGACAATCGATTATTTTGCACCTAGATTATCATTCTTTTTCGGAATCGGGATGAATTTTTATATGGTGAATTTCTCAAAAAAAAAAAACTTTCTGGTTACATTTGCGAGCAATTCTTTAGATTTTTGATATAAATTTTTCTCAAGGAAATTGCAAAATTACGCGCGGCTCGTCGTCTTTGGGCGCACATGGTTCAAGAGAAGTTCCAGCCTAAAAATAATAAGTCAATGATGTTACGAACTCATTGTCAAACTTCTGGCTGGTCACTTACTGCACAGGTATTTTATTGTGAATTATCCGTCTCATCTATTCTTTTTTTATTATTGTGAAATATAATATCTCCAATAATTTCAATCTAGGATCCATTTAACAATATCATCAGAACTACAATCGAAGCAATGGCAGCAACTCTGGGAGGCACACAATCACTGCACACCAATTCTTACGACGAGGCTGTTGGACTACCAACCGAAACATCAGCGCGAGTAGCGCGTAACACACAAATCATATTACAAGAGGAGGCGTTTATACCAAAAGTTGCAGATCCATGGGGTGGAAGCTACATGATGGAAAATTTGACGAATGAGATGTATGACAATGCAAGAGTGATTATCGAGGAAGTGGAAGAAATGGGCGGAATGGCTAAAGCTGTGACTAGCGGTATGCCTAAGCTTCGAATCGAGGAATGTGCTGCGCAAAGACAAGCTAGAATTGATTCAGGAAAAGGTAAATAATGTTAAAGTAACCCCGGGTAAAAAAAAATACTAAATTTGAGGCGTTTTCGAATAGAAACGATTGTTGGTGTGAATAAATATATAGTCGACAATGAAGTTCCAATTGATTTTCGTGCAATCGATAATCAAAAAGTTCGAGAAGAGCAGGTTGCTCGTATTAACCAGGTTAAGGCGAGCCGAGATCCTGCAAAAGTAAGTCGAAATTACCGTGTTATAATTTTGAAATAGAAATGATTATAATGACTAATTACAGGGTCTCTTTTTTTCTCAAGGCTGAGGCCATTTTAAATGCTTTGACGGAGTGTGCTAAAACAGGTCAAGGCAATTTGTTGGAGCTTTCTATTGAGGTACGTAAGATCTCTTATCTATTCATGTCACTAAATGCAAAAAAAAAACTCCATCCTAAATTGATATTCTCATTGGTTAATTAAATAAATAGGCTGCTAAAGCACGATGCTCAGTCGGTGAAATTTCCTACGCCCTAGAAAAAATCTGGGGACGTCATGAACCATCAAGTCGCGTTGCCAGTGGAGCTTACAAATCTTCATATGGAACTGAAGGCGAAGTAAATGCAACTATTAAACTTGTCGAGGTAAGAATATTTTATATACATACACAGGTACCGAATAAGCTTGCTAATTTTTACAATTCACCATTTGATTCTTACGCTACGCCTTTTTCCATTATAAAGGAAACACGAAATAAATTAGGTGTAAGTCCACGAATTCTCGTCGCAAAGTGCGGACAAGATGGGCATGATCGTGGCGCAAAAGTGATAGCCTCTGCATTCAGTGACTTTGGATTTGACGTGGATTTATCCCCGCTGTTCAGTACACCAGAAGAAGTTGCTCGTCAAGCAATCGATAACGATGTACATGTAATCGGCGTTTCGTCACAAGCTGCTGGACATAAAACACTCGTGCCAGCACTTATCAATGAACTTCATCGACTTGGTGTAACAGATAAGATTATCGTGGTTGGTGGCGTTATTCCTCCTCAAGATTATCAGTTCCTCAAAGAGGCTGGTGTTAGTTCTATTTTTGGCCCCGGAACAAAAATTCCAGAAGCTGCTAAAGAAGTTGTCATGAAAATTCAAGATATCAATAAACAAGACAATCCATCCGTGATTTAATTTGATATATATTGGACTTTATTAGCTCAATCGGGACTTTTTTAATTATTCTTTGTACAAATAATAGAAATAATGTATAATAGAAGTCGTCGAATATTTTGAATATTATGTTTGACTCATTTTTAAGTTAACGGGTTGTTTTTATCTATCGCTGCTGCTTTTCAAGGCAGATAGTCATACAAATTTTACATGAATCCGAAAAAATAATTTACATAAATTCTTGTGTTACATCACATGCATAATATTCTCAGGCATTATTCCATTTTTATCAGTCGCTCGAAACGACGATGGCGATGGCGACGGCGACGGCGACGGCGACAATTCACATAAATGAATGAACATAAACGACGGTCTTACAGCTCATCACGTTCACTGTTTATAACCGCTTCGCGCACAGCTCCTTTCACGCCGCTAACTACTTTCTGTGCGGTGATGCGTATTTCCTGGTTGCCACGTTGAACATCGACGCTCACCCATAGCCAGTAAAGACCGACAAACAGAGAAACCCAAAAGGCAAATTTGACCACACTCCACACCCAACTGCATAGAGCTTTGCTAATGGACCATGCAATATATAACATGAAGAAAATTATAAAAAGTATTATAAAGTCAGAGTTGATCGTCGTGATGGCGTTCATGCTTTCATATAGCTTATAAGATATTTCGGTGGCATTGTATGACGAAAGGTAGTCCTGCGTGAAGGTCCATATTGTTTGAAAAACTTCTAGTGATTGTATCGCTGTAATGTTTAACATTGTTCATTCGGCTCTAGCCGTGATTTAAGATGTTATATATGAGAGTAATATTTGACAAGCTGTTTAATGAACTATTATTGTGTCTCGTATCTTTTTGCTTACCAAGGAAGGTGGTCAGTTTTAATGTGTCTTGGTAAAGTTCGAAACAGATAGTTGTCTGAATTTTATTCGTTGTTCTGAATTTGTAGCAGAATGTCACATGATCGATCTTACCAGTTAGTCTACCAAATACAATCTCTTAATCAGACATAACAGGCAAAATTCATACATCTAATAGAAGTTCATTCAATAAATGATACTATAAAAAAGAATAACATTGGACCTGTAAAATATTATCGATTTTTCGTGCACGCAAAACACAATGTGGAAACGTGCAAATACAAAATATCTGTTAATAGCCGTGTGCACAATTATCAGCATCCACTTATTGCTATCATATATTCGTCCGGAGGGTGCTGGGTTTTCAAAATCAACTTTAGATTCTTTTTTTGATAATGATGACGGGTTTCAGTCGTCTGAGGAGGATCCAGCTGACATTAAACAGTTACCGGTCGTCTCAACGAAAAATAGCGCACAAAAACACACTAAACCAAAACCAAAGGTCAAGGCTGTGTTTGTCGTGTTAGTTCGTAATAGTGACATTCACTCATTACGCGCGTCAATGCGTCAATTAGAAGACCGATTTAACCATAAATATAATTATCCGTATTTGTTTTTGAATGACGAGGCGTTTACGGACGAGTTTAAAAGACTTAGTAGCGCAATGACAAAAGGAAAAACGGAATATGGTATAGTGAAGTAGATAGAAAATGCATTTATTATTGAATCATCTCTCATACATTGTACGTTTTGATCGAACATAGGAATTATACCTAAAGAGCATTGGAGTGTTCCCGATTGGATCGATTATGACAAAGCAAAAGAAGAAATGAAGAAAATGGAAGAAGCAGATATTATTTATGGTGGAAGTGAATCTTATCGTCATATGTGCAGGTGAGGTGGATTTATTTGCATTATAATTATTATTGTTAGCATTGAAGGTAAATGAACAAATAAGCCTTTTATAAATACATAGATTCGAATCAGGCTTTTTTTTCCGTCACCCATTATTGGATAAATATGATTATTATTGGCGTGTTGAACCTGGTGTCCAATTTTTTTGCGATATCGACTACGATCCATTTATGTATATGAAAGAAAAGAAAGTAAAGTATGGTAAGCGGTATTGAATGAAATCCAAGATTACTATAAGAGTAATGATTCGAAATTAACAATTAATCCTTGTTCAAAGGCTTCACCATATCATTGTATGAATACGAAGATACTATCAAAACTTTATGGGAGACAGTAAAGGAATTTATGAAAAAATATCCAGAGTACATCGAGGAAGACAATGCTCTAGATTTTATTTCCAATGATCAGGGTGAAACATACAATTTGTAGGCGAAATATTTGATCATTGGTGAAATTTTTTTTTGGTAAAATTACTAGAGATTAAATTGTCATTTTTGAAATATAGATGTCACTTTTGGTCAAATTTCGAAATTGGAGATTTGAATCTTTGGAGAAGCGAACGATATTTGAAGTTTTTCGAATTTTTAGATCAGAAGGGTGGATTCTTTTACGAGCGGTAATTGTTTTTATGATCTTATCAATATTGAGGTTTTGGTGATGATGCGTCTGATTACGATTAAATGTCGTGTCAAATTAATTTGAAAATTTTTCCTTAGTTGGGGTGACGCTCCAGTTCACTCTATAGCAGCTGTGCTGTTTCTAAAAAAGAGTGAAATTCATTTCTTCAACGAGATCGGATATAAACACGAACCTTTTATGCATTGTCCCGTCGAAAAGAATTTGCTACTTAAATGCCATTGTAATCCACAAGATAATTTCGGTGAGTGATTGAAATTTTTGATGATGGTTTGACTTAACACTATCTATTTCATGTTTTTTTCGTGTATTTTAGATTTGCAGGGATACAGTTGCACCGGAAGGTTCGTAAATGCTGCATATTGATTTTTCTTAAATTTCTTTGAAATTAAAACGTTTGTAATTTTTATTATTTAGATGGCTTCAAATAAATCAGCAACCAATATCAAATTAGCATATATAATAAATAAATACACTAGATATTAATTATTTTTATAAATTATCTTTCTTTCTGTAATTATAGTTGTTGTTTGCGGTTTCTTTTGTACATTTGGGAAACACGCCAGCAAATAAATACAAATGTCATTATTATTAAATACTATTTGACTTTAGAATATGTAAGGGATTTGAATAAGGATTCAGCTTACATGCCCAATAATGATATTATTACCAAGAGAACGGTGTGTTTACGTTCCTAATCGTCGCCCTCTTCCCCAATTATATCCGCTAGAATGTTGCTGTGACTCCGTATTTGGCGTAAAGATTCTTCCATAGGCTCTACGTAATCCACTGGAACTACCACCTGATGGGAAATACCTGTAAAGCCACCCTGGTGTTTTGGTAAGTCTAGGGCCTCCTGAAGCTGGATATAGCTCATCGAGGAAATAATAGAGATGACTAGAACATAATCCAACAATTGATCTTATTGGTATTGTTTTACTAGCTATAAATTCATAGGCTAGTAGGACAAATGGGAAATAGGCAGCCTATTAAGGAGAAAGAAATCATAGGTTTAACGACAAGCTCAGAGTAGAAAAGTTTAGTTATTTCAAAGCATATAACTTGAAATATTATACATGTTTTACCTTAAAAGTCAGCCCGAACATAAAGGTAACAATCTTATCTCGATTATATTGAGACCATAGATATATAATCGACATAGTTAAAGAAGCGTTGTAGTAATACAAAGGGAAAAAAAACGATGTAGCCTAAAAAAAAAGTCAATGAATCAAGGAAAAATATTATCATTGTGGATTGAGACTATTTTTTGAATTGATTAGTTATTTATTACTTTTTCTTCTATTAATTAAAAAGGATACTAATGTAGATACGCAAGAAAGCACCAAGAACCACACGTAATCAGCAGTTCTACCGAGAAACTTTGTCGTTTCCAGTTCTTTCGAGTATCTATATGTGAAGTATAATTGAAATGCAAAATCCAAACCTACTCTATGACAGAAGAAACATGTATATAGTCGCCATAATTGAAGCTAATTTATGAAAAAAAGTAAAAATGCGAGTTGTTGTTTTGCAGACAAGTAAATAAATGTTCGTCTGTATAGTCAATGAACGAATGCTTGAGAAATTATTCTTGCCTGGAATATTGACCGAGGGTTTAACAAAAGTGACTGGTAATTAATGAGAAACCATCCAATTATTGAAACTCCAACAATACTTGAGAATAGAAATCGTGTGCAAGGAGGTAAGTTCTTGAACCAAAACTCTATATCATTCATTCTGGCAAATGTCAAAATGTGTATTTATGGAATAAGGATAATTGCAGATTTTATACGTAATTTGGGCATAGCGATAGTTTTGAGTATAGTCTAAAAAATGTTGATTGAATTTCTAGAACAATTCAACTTTTAGCTACAATGTCAACAAGCATGCGTATGGTATAGACAAGTTTTCCTTTCTTTTTGATTTATTTTCCTTCTAATATTCAAGCTCTTTGAAACTATTAGATTAGTAAAGACGAAGAAGTAGATGCAGAAGTAACCTGGGAAGACCAGCAACAAATAAATTCTTTCAGTAAATTAAATGCAAAACATTCTGACCTGGAGGAAATTTATAATGCAAAGAAGGTAAATAAGTAGGGACTTGCTTCAATTTAGCTTTCTATTGCCATAATATAGCATTTCTTCTTTCGATTCAATAATATTGTATAACTGAAAAAACGCAGATAGAAAAGGAATCATTAGAAGACTTATCATCAGAATTGGAACTCGCCGATGAACAAGTAAAGTAATAATTAGCATTGAGGTGCCATTCAGCAATTCCTTCCTTATCATCCGTAAAATAATATTTACGTATATATACACGAAACCTTCGATTATCCCAGGTATAAAATAGGAGAGGCGTTCATCACGTTACCGCTAGAGGAGGCACAAGAACGGATTGAGCGTGAATCGGAGCTTCTTACGCAGGAACTCGAAAAGTTGAAACATGATATGGACGGTTTAGTCGAGAAAATGGATCAGTTGAAGGTTTTGTTGTATGGAAAGTTCGGGAAAGCTATTAATCTGGAAAGGGATTGATGCTAGTTTTTGGGGTTATGCAATTTTTCTTTATTTGCAAGATGAGGAATTTTCAAATAACAAATTATTAATATCATTAATGCTCAGTTTGAGTTTTCACATTTACTATGATAAAATTTTATGCTGACATAAGCAAAGTAACAAAAAAAGATATTTATTAGTTTTCAATTAATAATCATATGAATTGATCGAGTTTTTAATCGAGCTATCAAGTTTCCTTTTACCGCAAAGCGCCGACTATAGTACCCTCTCTTGAAGAAAATTTAAACGTTATTTTATAATGGTGTAATTTCTTCGAACATTTATGCTACTAAACTAATGGCTCTGAAATTTTATCAAGGGTGAGATACTATAGTCAACACTTTACGGTAGCCACCCGATACTATCTATCATTAAGAAATTATATCAATAGCGGTCGAATCTTTCTACAAATATCAGCAGGAGGATATGACAGCACTTGTGCATAAATATTTCTAAATGATTCATGGTTTTCTGTTTTCGAAGTTTTGTCTAGTTTTATTCTCATTAAGAGCATAATGCTCAGATAAATTAGGCAAGACTACATACATTTAACTTTTTAGTTAATCGCTAGATTATAACTAATAGATAAGAAAATGCACACTAATACTATATTATATACAAAATTGGTGGTCAGAGAAAAATATAGTACTAAAGAAAACTATATTTTTATTATTATTACTATTATTATTATTACCATCTTAAAAAAAAACTGGCTCAATGTTCAAGAGGCAAAGAAAATATCAATTACTACTGTTATTTTTCTGGGATCTCTTGCGCCAATGTATCCAATAACTTTTGCACATCTTTAATATTATCAATATAAGATTTAGCTTCGGTTCTTTTTCTTCCAACCGTGCTAGTAATACTGTCCGGGTAGAATTCTTTGAGCAACGAGAAAACTGGTTCGTCCGTATTCCCATCACCGACGCAAAGTATAAAGTCCATAACGCTGTCTTTCATGTGTTGTAGATCTTTTAATATGACGCGGACGGCCGTAGATTTGTCCACCGCTGAGGGACGAATTTCGAGAGTTTTGTTACCAAGGACAATCTGAAATTTAGATTAGATTATATTATATTAGAGATGGTTCTCACTCGAATAAAATATCAACAAAATAATAGCAAGGAATTTACCGATAAAGCCATGTGACTTAATAATTTTTCCAGATTAATCTGAAGTTCTGTAGCTTGCCACGATCCAAATTCCGGATCAGCATTACGATAATGCCATGTTAAATTGATTTCTTTCTCTTCAATAAACGAGCCCGGAGTTCGCTCAAAGTAATGTTGAAACAAAGGTCTAATATTTTCTTTCCAAGCAGGATCAACCTGTTCTACCAATCTGTACCAACCATTACTTTCTTCTTTAACCGTCTTTCCTTCCGACTGACAATTACCGACCGGGTCTATCGTACTTTGCAGAACTTCCGGGTGTTTGTAAAAACAACCGTGTTCTGCAGAAAGACCGATTCCCGTCGATTCAAACCATTGATCAAGATGTTTTCGTCCACGACCAGAAAGTATATATATATAAGTGTTTGGTCGTGATTGTAGGGCTCTAAGGGTTGAAACAATCGTGTCGGATGGTTTGGCAAATTCTGGTAATTTGTGATTGGCGGTTAATGTTCCATCGTAATCCAATAGTATCACCTTTTTCTTGGTGGATGCTTTGCACGCTTTTATGGTATCTTCTATGGATAGACGTGGAATTTGCACATATTCACTTACACGCTAAATATAATAGTATATGGTAGATAAGTAAAAGTTACCGTACTCTAAATTCATTGATTTTAAATAATTATATAAATTTACCCTCAATTCATCGATGAAGCTCATTCCCCAATACGCTGCTGAAAATTTTGTTACATAACTATATAATTTCTCATAATTTTTTTTGCGCAAGTCGTCGGGCATGTTAACGGCTTCACGTATGGCGTTAGCAAGTTCCGCAGTGTGCCAAGGGTTGACAAGAATAGAGCCTGTTGAGAGAATTTTAATTTTAATTATTATTATTATTATTATTGTAACATCAACAAAAGAATAACCAAGTATTATAGACAAAATAATACAATAATATAGTTTACCATTCAAAGACTGAGCAGCACCGGCAAATTCACTCAGAATCAAGACACCATGTCTTTCTTGCTGACAAGAAATATACTCATAAGACACCAGATTCATACCATCGCGCGTAGAAGACACCAAGCAAACATCCGAGATGGCGTACAATGCGGTCAATTCCTCAAAAGTGACGGACTTATGCAGGAAATGAATTGGCATAAATTCAATTGTGCCAAATTTTCCATTGATCCTTCCAACCAATTCATTGACAACAGCACGCAAGTTTTGGTATTCTTCCACATCCTGACGGGATGGAACAGCGACTTGAACAAGCACCACCTTACCAATCCATTCAGGATTCTCGCTTAGAAATACTTCTAACGCGTGAAGCTTTTGTGGAACGCCCTTAATGTAATCCAATCTATCGACACCCGCAATTATCTTAATACCCTTAAACCTCTCCTCTAGAGTCTTAATACGTTCCTGCACTTTAGGCTGTTTCAACCCCTTTTTAAATAAGAATCTTAATTAAGTTTCAAAGTTGATATATTCAATAGGACCCATATGTCATTGAATACTTACTTCGACAAACTTCTCAGGATCAATTCCAATGGGGAATGTACCAACATGGACATGTCTCCCCTCATAATCTATGGCATTAGGCATAGTTGATAGGCCTAGAATGCGTGTACACGAGGATAGAAAGTGTCGGACGTAATCGTAGGTATGAAAACCGATCAGATCAGAATTAAGCACTCCAATGAGAACTTCCTTACGCACGGGCAAGATTCTTTAAAACAAATTTATCATCAGTGAATGAATCTGATGGAAAACAAGTCGCAAAATACCCTGCAAATTACCGATAAATTTCACTACTGGGAAATGGCGTGTGCAAGAAAAAGCCAATTTTTACATGTTTCTTTGTATTTTCCATCTTCTCTCTTAACAAACTCGGCAATAACATTAGATGATAGTCTTGTATCCAAACCAAATCTCTATCTCTGACAATTTTACCAATTGCTTCTGCGAACAACTTATTGACTTGTTGATACGCAGTCCAATCATCCGGATTAAAGGAGATCTCACCAGGATGGTAATGGAACAATGGCCATAAGATTGAATTTGAAAACCCGTTATAATGACGATCTGCCAATTCGTCTTCAACGAACACCGGGTGACATGATTGTTTCTCAAGTTCATCAGTGACAGTAGCTCTTTCGTCTTCGGGGATATTAATACCTAGAATGTATTATTTCAGTTAGATAAAGATGATCATCGCCATGGGCTTCTCGTAATTAATTGAACAAACCTGGCCATCCAATCCAAGTAAATGTCATCATTTTTTTCAAGCCACTCAGAGCACTCACAAGGCCACCCGAGGACAGTTTAAAACTATAGTCTTTTTCATTTTTAGTGATTGTAATGGGAAGACGGTTTGATACAACAAGCAAACGAAGATCCTTATTCTCAGCTTTATCTAAAAATGAATTGTCCCTGTTAGGCATGGTTTCTAATTAATGCTGTTATGAGAGAAGTATAACAGAAATAAAGCTGTATAATATAAAGCTGTGTGTAAGCTATATAAAAATGAATTGAGTATACGCAAGATTCCAAGACATTATAAAGAATGCGTACATTTAATTTCCTAAAATACAAGTTCAAAATGTTCGTTCCTGACGAAGACGTTTTTAGCGCCTAAAACATTCTTAAATAAAAAACCGATTAACTGCAAGTGAATTAAATTCATGCAAGACCCGAGTTTTGTTTTTCATGAGAATCTTACATAAATAGCTAACTCAACACGTCATTTAAACTATAAATGTCAAAGGCGTGATAAGACAAATATGGTTGCGCGTGAAAGTTGGGTCATATTACTGCATAATTACGTGTGTATCGTGTCAAATAGATTTTCATTCGTTTACATCGTCGATGCGATCGATCTATATCTTACATACAAAATGGTAATGGTCATGTTTCAAATTGGAATTCTTTGATCTTCTTTATTTTAAGTATCTACAATATCTACAAGTGAATATTAATATCATTTTTATCTTTACATTTTTGATAATCTTTGCTGCTATACATTATTATATTTTCCGTCTCTTCGTAATACAAACAATTAATAAATTATTTCTTGAATAATTTTTTGGCAATTAAATAATTATTATTATTATCATTATCACTTTTTTAATTTTTTGTTGATATTGTCGTCGTCGTTGTTGATATTGTTGTTTTAGTTGTTTTAGATGATTTTGATGTTGTTGTTGTTATAATATTAAATATCTTTTAAAGAGATATATTCTCTTCCCCATATATCTTCAGGTCCAGAAAGATCGTCGTCAAATTTTCTACTCTTTGTTGATTGAGTTGATTCTTCACTATCTTCTTCCAAACTACGTTTATTAGCTTTTTTTAATTCATCCTCAAGTTCCTCTTTGGATAACCATTCATGTTTTTCTTTACAAGTATTACCTTTTTCGCAGTATCCTTCTTCAATAAAGCTTCTACATAAACTAGCGTTCCTGGCAACATGAACATGTGTGTATCGACATCCATCTTTGTAGCAAGGTCCTCGCTTGAAATGTTTGCAATGCGGGACCACATACGGAGAAGCAACATGCTGAAAATAGCAATCACTGCCACGAGAACAAGTGCTGCCTTTTAACCAATCCTTGCAGACTGGAATTTTCGCCTCATCATGTTTGTAAGCACATTTAGATCCTTCCTTGCATCGCCCTGAAATAAGTGTTAAAGGAAAAATTTAGGTACATAAAAATTATCGCAAGAAAAGCGTGTTTGCGTGCGCGTGTGTGTGTGTGTGTGTGTGTGTGAATACCAAGGATGCCGGTATTCTTTTTTCGAAGATGATGATGATCATCTGGAACCGTGGAATTATGCATCCAAACTTGTGGGTGCTGACCATTTGATTAAATGATGCATTTATATGTGTTTGATGACTGTTTGGTGGCATCACCTTCTTTCTCGTCAAAGCGACTTTTGATCGAATGCAATACGAATAGCAGTAGATTTCGCTGCTGCGTAAGGAAACCTAACAAAAAAAACACATACCATATTTGTGATAAAATCTACAGTATTGATTAACGATTTTTGTCTTGGCTGGAGGACTTTTTTTGTAAAAATAAAATTAGGTGGATGAATTAAAATTAGTAAACACACATACACACCCTCATGATAAGTCGCAAACCAACATAGCAGCATGCTTACTTGTTCTTGATTTTTGATAGACCATTTTGTTCAAACTTGTTACGTTGATGTTGTGCCGACTGTGTTGCTGCAGTACTACCACTACCACCAATACCACCACCACCACCAGCAGGAGCCTTACCAAAAACCATCTCAACACGACTCAAAGTATTCGGTCTCGTACGGACAAGCTTTGGCTGTTCAATTAAGTCTGGAGGACTTGGTAACAATAAATCAGTTCGAACTACCTTATTAGGTTTAGTATGGATGTAAGAAGTCACTACAGGAACAAGAGACGTGTCTTCCGTTTTACTTTTATTTGAATTGACAAGAGTCAGGTTTCGAAAAGTCGAAATGGTGGAAGTGTTTGTATATTTAGCGTAATATGCCATTTTTTTATCAAAGGGGAAAAAATTAATAAAATATACTCAAAGAAACGCTAAACTGTTGTGTGTGTGTGTGAAGATGATTTATTGGTGATGTTAAAAATGCTCCACAAAAAGACAAATCCTGTGCTCTGCATCGTTGTTTACTTCCCTAGAAAATCTCCTAAATTGCGTAATCTTAACCCCTTCAAGACAACCAGTAAATTTGGGAGATTTGAAGAATTATCATGTAGTACTGTACACGAAAATAATCTCTTTCGTTATTACCAGCACGTCATCCGAAGATTATTCATTCAAGTCGCTAACATTTTTCTAAGGAGGAGGCAGGATATTGATTATACTTCTACACGGTTCTAGGAAATTTTAAATCTGGTTCCGTGGGTGTGATCATATTGATCATATGGAGGTACAACTGTTAATGTTGAATTACATCAATGCATGAATTGCAATTTTTCTTCTTCCAATGTTGTATTTGATGAATGACTCAAAATGGATTGATTTTTCCGCATGCTTCAGAAATCTTTACGATAGAGATCTTGATCTCGCCCAATTGAAAAAATCATGTCGATCATTTTTCAATAAAATTGAACTTCAAGCCAGACTCTAAAGTTTCGCGCTTCGTGATTATTTTTTCACATAGTAATGGAACAGCAACCTTCAACGACACACTCACCTCCCCGTGAAGAGCAGCAACAGGCAAATAATGTGCCCATAAATCAGAATCAGCGCCCTCCAGTGAACCCGCAATCAATGCCGCAACCACACATGCTGCACCCATTTCGTCCACTCCTTCCAGCTGGCTGGACTGAACATCGTGCACCCAATGGAATGTTTTATTATTATAATGCATCAACTGGACAAAGTACCTGGGAAAGGCCAATAATGCTTCCACCACCACCGCCCATGGGCGTTTCACCAATGGGAGTGCCTCCTCAATTAGTGCCTGGGGTACATCCTTCTCCTTTTCAGTCTCACTCTAGTATGATGCCCATGCCTATGCTTCAGCACCCCTCTACCATGAAACATCAACCAACTGTGCAGGGGACATCACAACAAGCTAACTCGCCGAAGAAAGAAAAGCGAAAAGAAAAGAAAAAGAAAGAAAAGGCCAAGGGAAAGAACGTATTTATTCCTTTCTGTTAGTACTTTATCTTTTGGTGCTTTTGTTGGACAGGCTTGCTTATTTATTTATCCCACTTAATCCTTTCTTCCTTTAGGAAACAAATTGGCGAAACTTCATGGTACATTGTCAAAACCACGGAAAGCAATGAATTTTATTATAATTCTGATACAAAACAGTCTGTATGGGAAGTTCCGGAAGAAGTTGTAGACGAAGTGAAGAAGATCAAGGAGCAGGAACTAATCGAGCAATCAAAAGTCAGTGAAAATGGCGGATCGAAGAGAAAAATAAATGAAACGGAGGAAGACAATAATAGTGAAGATCCTTCTTTGAAGAAAGTTCGAGGTGCTACTGAGGAAGGAACAGGACTTGAAGGGACAGAGTATGTTTTATCTTGTTGAATTTTAATTCTTTAATGGATAATATTTTTTAATTGATAATATTTAATTATTATACAAAAAGGTTAACTGCAGATGATATTGCGTATCAACTTCAATTTATGGAAGAACAAGAGCAAGAGTTAGATGGAACCGAAGAAACAGAAAATAATCACGACATCAATACACATGGTGAAAATAGGACTGAAGGTGCTGATTTTGCTAGTAGTGGTCAAATAGGGAGAAAAACGGAACCAGAGAGAGAAGTAGAGCTTTCCCCGGAGGAGAGAATTTTAATGTTCAAAGTAATCGATAATCATTAATTGATTTTGAAATGTTGGAAAATTTCATTATATAAATCCAATATAATATTATTTATTTCTTGATAGAGTCTACTTAGAGATATGAATGTTTCACCGTTTGCTGTGTGGGAAAAGGAGCTACCGAGAATAATACACGATCCTCGATATACAAGTAAGAACATATTTTTTATTCAGCTTCTGTTAATATTTTTCTTCTGATAAAATAATAAGTCGATCTTTCCAAATAGTAATTTCCACTTTGAAGCAACGAAAAGAAATATTTGATGAGTATTGTAAAGAAAAAGTTATCGAATTGAGAGCAGAAAAGAAGAAAAAAGCAAAGGTAATAATAAAATGATTGATTAGGATCATTAATTTCACTTCTTATCACCAAGGTTTTTCTTTGAATGAATGAATGAAAAATTCAAACAAATGAATTTATAGACTCGCTCTGTTCAAGAGGAGTTCGAAAAATTACTTGAAGAGGAGGTTTCGCTTGGAAACCACTGGGAAGATTTTCGTAGGAAATTTAAGCGGGATCAGAGATTCAAGGATTACGACGATGAAAAAGAAAAGGAAAAGAAATTCCGGGAGCATATAAAGTATTTGAAAGATAAGGAAGCAAAGAGTAAGTAACAGTTTTAAAATCTATTATATTAATAGAGTCTAGCTTGTGAGTTTAAAATCTTATGTTTTTTTTTGAATAGAAAAAAAAGCACAACAAAAAAGAGCAGAAAAAGAGTTCATAGAGCTACTGCAAGAGACTAGAGAAATACAGTACGATTCCAGTTGGCGAAAGGTATTATTTTTTACACTTTTACAAATGGTGTGTCAAATAAGAAATAATCTTAATAATGATATTTGTTATCAGATAAAACGATTAATTGACGAAGACCGTCGATATGAAGCACTCGAATCAGAAGATAGAGAACGATTGTTTCGAGAGTATTGCCGAAAATTAGAGGCGGAAGACGAAGAGGAGATGGCCAAAAAAGAGGAAGAACGTAAACAGAGAGAACGAAGAACCAGGTATTTAATTAATAAAATTTGTTATTTCCATTATAACGACTGTTATTTAACTATTATATTAACATATAGAGAAGAGGCAAGTCTAAGAAAAAGAGAAGCTGAAGTTCGACGAGAATTAAGTTTTCACAATCGAAGTAGAGATTTTGTGAAAAAATCTGCGCTGCACGGCGAAGCAGTATTAGAATTTCAAGGTTTATTGATTGACATGATTCGAAATCACCAGGTAATAAATAATTTTAACATCATATATAATTTTCATCTTTTTTTTAGTGAATGTGTTTCTTAATCAATTTTATATAAAGGTTACATGGGACGAGAAAAGGCCTGAACTTGAACGAGACCCGCGCTTTCAAAATGAAAGTCTCACACTTGCAGACAAGCTCCGCCTTTTCGAAGACCATCTCACAAGTATCTACCAAAAGCGTCTAAAAGCATACCACGAGCTTCTCGATCAAAATGTAAAATTAGACACTACATGGGTTGAGCTACAATCCATTGTAAAAGATGATCCACGCGCGGTCAGACTCTCTAAACAAGAATCTGTGTTGGAACCGTTATTTGAAAAGTACCTCGAGTCTCGGATACAAAGGGCCACTGCTGAATTCAAGCAGCTGCTGCATGAGAACCAGTTTGTCGAGTATCGTTCTAGGATGATGAAACTTTCGGAAGATGGCGCAACTGATGAAACTGGTGCCGGCAAAGAGAAAGCACCTGGTTTGACTATAGAAGAAATACATGACGTCTTAAAAGTAAGAGGAATTTGTTGCGTTGGTATAACGGAAGTATTACGTGCTGCTCATTATTAACTCCTCGTCATCCCTTTTATAATTTTAAGGATGACCAGAGATACTTGGTTCTAAATCCTATGTCCGAGCTTCGAGAAACTATCATCAAAGAATATCTTGAAAATATCGAAACTCCGAGTCTTACTGTTCATCAAGGAAGAGACTAGGAAATGACATTAATAAAATACTGATAGATAGTATGCTTTTAACCAATAAAATCATAACAATTATAAGTGGTGGGAATAAAAAAAAATTAACGTAAAGTTTGAAATGTAATAAATATTAATACAGTAATCTGATAATAGTTTATTTTGTTTTCGTGATAATCTTTATAAAAATTTTTCTTACCATAGAATAAAGACGGGCATATTTACATATTCATTTTAACTCACCGTCATAAATTATAGTTTTTTGAACTATGATTAGCATCATTTCAATTATTGGATAAATAAATTAGAATACCAACAACCAATTTATTACTTTTTTAATCATTAATAATGGTTCTCTTACATTTATCACATTTATTGAAAAAACCCAGTTTTTGAGGAAGCAACCTTTGCAACCACAATCGACATAATCTCATCAATTACATCCAAACGTCTCAACTCTCTCACATGAAACTTCAAGGACGCGTCGTATGCATAAATGATCGCAGTATCATTGATATAAACGAAATTTTGACTTAATGCATTTATACAATTGCAGACACGAGCGATTTTCTCACGCGTAGAGTCATCAATTGGCTATATGAATATATGGTGAAAATTAGTCATCATATCATTTTCTCATTGTTTTGAATTAAATTCACGTACCTCATTTTGACTAGAATAAATCGCATCTACATCAATACCACTACTAATGATACTACTAATGCTAGTATTAATAATAGAACTAGTAAAAGCACTAGAAGTATGACCACCACTACTATTGGGATCAAGTTTTGAATGTTTGCACACCCAAATATACCCGTTAAGTCCCAGGATCACATCAATACCGCAAGGTAGCGTATGGAAATGCGTTTTACAGCGTTGTACTAGTGGTGGTGGGACATTAATAAATGAGCCATTTCGTAGCTAATTTTTATCAATTATTATCGTCATATTTTTGGTGAAGAATTGATTTAAAATTTGACTTAAATTACTATACCTTTCCGTATTTTGAATTCCTCGTGTGTAAGTTTGCAGCCCCATCTTGAAAGAATGCGTGTATTTCGGCCTAATTTTTCTTTATTAATATTGTTTTTTTTATATAACAGCTTATCAAATAGATTTTATAATATTACCACAAGTAGATCTCCCTCTATAAAAAATTTACGCATCTGCAGCTCATCTTCCTCTGTTTTACGCCGTTGCACTCCGCCCGGCAGATTAATCGATGATAACTGTAGAACACCGTCTTGCCGCGAGTTTAAGTCTACTTTCCATCTTTTTTGGGTAACCTTTTTTTATATTGATAATATTTATCATAGTCGAAAAAGTAATCACAAAAAGAGAAATGGGAGGGGGGTTGTCAGAAAAACCAAGCAAATTATATCTATTATATATAATTTGCTGACGACCCCCCTCCCATTTGTTCATCATTTTGAATCCTCGAAACAAGTAGCAAATTAACTAACCTCCGTTATCCTCCCAATAACTAAATCTCCTATATCGCCAGTATATCTTTGAAAACACGTGTTCAAATAAAAATAAGTGAATGAATGGAAATAGAAATTAAACGCATCTTTTAGATAAATCTACCTTGTGTGTAAAGGTCGCACCAAAATCAACTTATTCACAGGTTCTACAATACCTGCGACCGCAGATAGCATTGAATCTGGGGGGAGATGATATGTCCCATGCCCTCTAATCAAGAAAAAAATGACAAATTTATTTAATTTAGACTTCTATTTTAATTTAACCTTGCATTAATTAATTGCTATAATGAGCCTCGTCCGTGAAAGAGTAAAGTAAATGGCTAAAATCACAAATTACCAAAAAAAAAAGATAAATACTTCATGAATTGCGGGTCACTAGTTATCCGTTGTCCTGGAGTCACCATAAGAAAAGCGTCACTGGAATTCAAAGAAGTCAATACTTCTCTTTTTAGATCTTCCTCTTCCAAATCTGCTTCTAGCATTTCAACGTCATGTTCGTGTCTTTCTTTACTCTCTGTGCGTGGAAACAGGAATTCAATGTTCATTCTTTTCAGTCTTCTTCCTGAAGAGTTTCTTGCATGAAATTAGAGAATTGAAAAAAATGGACGATCTTTATTCAATCTGGAAGATTTGCATGATTTTCAATGCATGAATGATAAATACAGTATTTCGATATTAAAAGTCTAAATCATTATAACGATGATAGTTTGATAAGATATAACGATAATAAATATCAACTTCTATTAAATAATATAATCGATTGAGCTATATAATAATCTTGAAAGACCTAATTAATCCCACACCAAATGTCCTTCTTCATCTAGACTAGCTTTTGATCCAGTCTTACTATTATTACTATTCCAAGAGCTTGATGCGGTACTTGTCTGTTTATTAGATGGATTCTGTTTAAGAAGCTCTTTTAGTCGCTCCTGCTCCAGTTCTTTTTTATGCTGTGATAATCGTACCTCCTGTATCTCTGCTTTAAGCTTAGCTTCCTCTTTAAGTTTGGCGGCACGTGCCATATTTTTCTTTTGCGTTTTTGAGAGTGGTTCATCGGCAGATCTTGGTGATGAAGATTTTTGCGAACCTGAATATTGTCAAATTGTAAATTTTTACGATGAATATAATAAATCATAGATACATAATTATAAACCAATAAATAAATACCGCTTCCAGTTTTTTTATTATTTGCATTGTCATCGGGAACGATTCGCATCACGCGAAATTGTTGAGAATAAGTTGGATCCATATGGGGATCAATTTCACGGGGTTGTTGTGATTTCGATGATATTGTCGTCTGTTGTTGTTGAGATGAGGTAGGAAGAAGAGGTGGAAATTCGCCTAAAAAGAGACGAAAAGAAGCAGTTCTATTTAATTGTTAATTATTAGAGAATTAATTTGAATTTATTACGAGAACTAACAAGAATCAATAACTAACCTGAACTCGTTAGATTAAAATTGCGCACTTTTGCCGCCTTCGGTGATCCTTTACGCCGATGTATAGAGACCTCCATAAACTCGCTGTCATCCTCCAGTTCATTCTCCAATACTTCCTCCTCTGTTTCGTCTTCGCGTGTATGAACATACGACTTTTCACTACCCTCGCTGTAGTCGCTTTTAACGTTGTTAGTATCGCTACCAGTGTCTTTCTTTATTTTCTTTTCAGTATTATCCCCACTACTGCTACCACCAATATCTACTTCCGCCACCTTCCCACCTACACTTGTATTTTCTGTTTCGCTACCTCCGTCCCCTTGTTGCTGCCGTTGTTGCGGTTGCTGTTCTTGCTTATTGGCATTTTTCGATTTCTTCTTCTTCTTTTTTTTGGTGGTGGTAGCGGTGGTAGTAGTGGCGCTACTAGTAGCAGTAGTAGCACCTACTGGTTTGTCGCCGGCATTACTTTTTTTACTCTTTTTTGTTTTTGGCTGCTGTTTTTTCGTGTTAGCTGTCGTCTGTTGAAGGTCTGCACGCAGAAAACGAAGCAAGACAATAGGTAATATAATCACAATTATAATGAAAGCAATCGCTTTTAACATATTTGTAATCAACTGGTCGAACGCTTCTTGAATTCAATTAGAGAATCAAGCATCAGTTTTGTCGCACGATCCAGTTAAGTATTGTACGCCGACTGTTCCAAAAAAGGTATAGTTTATATTTTACGATAAATTTGATGATGATAATCAACATTAATTTCAATCAACCTCCCCTATAATCACACTCTCGGTTGCCTAGTGCTTTTTTTAAAAAAATGTGCTTATAAAGAGGTTGTGCTTATAGAGAGGTATTTTTTTATTAATGAATGTTTCAAATCTTGTATAAGTTTTTATATGATGTGCTTATAAGGGAGGTGACTATATGGGAGGTTGACTGTATATTTGGCGTCTCTAATTTCTCGCCAGACAAATTTGCTTGTCCATATCATGTTCTCATTCTTTGGGTCCTTTTACAAGTTCACCCACTCAAAAGGTACCTGGCGCCTCGACGGATTAATTTTTAGCCCGCTGAAGGACTCGCGGACGTGAAGACCCAGTTGGGAATTGTCGAGGAGCTGAAGAGTGTGACAAAGATTTCTAGTCTAGGTGAACGAGTGGGGAGTAGCTACGAAACTTACAAAATGCTCTTATATGATGTTTTTGCAACACAGGCATTAAGCATAGAATAGAGCGTAATATTCAAAATTAGTTTCCATCCATCCATTTGAGGGAACATTTGGTACATTGTTTGCGACACTTACTAATTGTATGTTTTCTTGTTTCATAAGGCGTACGTTTATTTTTTGATTGCACAGACCCTCGAGCAATTCAAGCAATCCGCAAATGGGTGAAACAGTATGAACGGCCCATAGAAACAATCCAAAAGTATGTTGTTTCATTTGTCCATTCCACCATGGATACTTTCAATAGTGTGCCCGACTGAATGTTATTTTGTAGATTGTTTCAACTTTTGGCTCGATCTTTTTTTAACTTCGCCGGTGCGCACCTTATGGAATAGTACTTCCGATCGAAATGGAATCCTTTCACAATTCTGCCTGCACAATATGCCAGATCGACATAATCCCTCGATTCCCCTCTTGGCCTCCGGTTCCTCCGGGAGGTTGGAAAAATGCTTCATAGTCAAATCAATTCCTGCAGCGACAATGATCTCAAAAATACTTTCTCCAATATGTTCGCACTCAATGTCACATATGACAGCAGCACTGATGCCAGTATGTTGTGAAGACTGGCGGTGAGGCACAATTACCATTCGATAACTTTACGAGTACTTTGTCAATACAGAAGGTCCCAAGATCAACTTTGGAGAATTCTGTCAGACCAAAGGCACGTCAGGATTCAGTTGGCATCTGTTGTAAATATGATTTTCTCAGACCTTTTACACGATGCATCAACAAGCTTTTCCGTGCTAATTCTTGGTTAACGAAGTAAACATATTACATTAGTATATTAGAAAAATTCTTCGTCAAGTTGTGCATGCTGTTGGTATGAACACTTTTGTTCCTAACTTTGCTAAAACGATCCAAGATCCCATTGAGATGATCATGAATCAACTCATTTTCTTTGCTTCCTTTCCTTGTTGATAATGTTGTGCCAATATTGGTAATACATTACCATTACATTTGACAAATGATAATCTCAATATTTACCTCAAGTATGACAATTGTTCTGTATCACCGATATTGGTGGCTATGAAGATATTCTTCAAGTTTTTATTCCAGGAAAAGGGAAGAGATTAACCAAATTTCTGCATAATATTGATGCAGGAGCTGACAAGTTTTCTGAAAATACGTTACCCTTTCGAATATTAACGCAACGTCTATGTTGGCAAATACCATTTCGGACTGTCGTAGTAGATGGAAAGTCTATCCCCTACAAAGATCTCAGGTCAGCTAGCATCTTAAACCTAAAATACATTGGGAAAAAGGACAAATTTTATGTCCGTGTTCCACACCTTTGGGTGGTGCTATTAACTAAAGCCGCTACAAAGCTGGATATTTCCTGATGAGGCTAGGAGGAATTTAACATAAATTCTGGGCTTTACGTTATGGCTTTTCTCGTTCATTGGGAACTCGACCATAATGTTGGAAGAAGTATCCAGACAATTTAGAAGTAACTAAGATTAATGGTAACAAATATGTATACTTTCCCCAGGGGCTCTGCAAAATGGCAAGAATGCAAGTGTTGATGCTACATCTCAGCAAATTGAAGCATTTAATACAACTCTGCTTATATGTTCCAAATGAAATTGGCTGAAGAAAAAAATTCAAAGGAACTTTCCAATATTGACAAAGAAACACTCGAAAAGAATCCAAAAACGTCAAGCAAGCACAGAAATCTTAAAGCAGCGCCACGCCTTATCTAATATATAAATTATTAAATAGTCGTATATAAATTTAAATTTTCATATACACAATAATATAATCAATATTCGATATTGATATGTATTTTTATTTTAGAGAATATATTTATAAAATTGTGATTCTCATTGTGTGCACTATACAAAAGTTTCTTTTTGAAAGTTAGAGTCTCGAAATTCGATTATAAACTTTATAAATGAAAATAAATATATATCAACTAGCTGATTAAAATCGTAAAATTTCAATTTGCTTAATATTTTTAAATAAATCCCATAAAATTTTAAAAGGGATTCTTTTTATTAATATGTACCAGAGCATCGATATATATATATATACTGTATGTAACATTTAAAGCTTTTTAAGATAATACTATATAAACTTGTTATACTTGGCGATGATGGTGCAAGCAAGGCAACACTTACGATTCAATTATGTCTGAATCATTTTGTCGAGGCTTAGAGAGCAAGTTGTTATTGATGATGAACCATATGTTTTAGAAGCACTAGATACGCTGGGCAAGAGGAATTTCCCATATTACGTGCTTCCTTATTGTATACTCGGTTTATGTTTGAGCGAATAAGAAAAATATTTCGGTTAAAGATTGATTCGGTTCCTATTATGCTTGTTGGAAACAACTGTGATAAAATGACTGAACGGGGAAGTTTCGTGAAAAGAAGGCGAATTATTGGATGTGAATTCATCAAATGTTTCGAAAAATATGCGTAAATATTCATAAAGGTCGTGACATTATGTAATATCCTGTTTGGGGGGAGGGGACTCTATAGTAAACATATATATCGATATGTCACGACCCTTAGCATTTTATACTGTTGTCAGAATGCTAATCGTGATCGTAATATTAATGTTAGATGTTTTGTAAATTTAGCGCTAGCGCTAGGTGTAAATTTTGGAAATTTAAAAATATAAATATTTGGTTACGGTGGATTCAATCCGGTGGAGTCGATGAGGCAACGATGTGAACTCGTAATTCAAAATGAGTTATTTTATTAACTTGTATATTATATCGGTATAAACGTTCTAATTTGTCAAATTTTTTGGGCCTGGACTGTTGGATGGCCAATCAATAACTTCAGGCATATTAGCTTGAAGGAATTTCTGCGATTACACTTCAAGCATATGAATAAGATAGTGACACAGGTAAAGTTATACATGTACATTTACGTACTTTTTATGTAACGCTTTTTCAAATCGGTAATTTTTTTACAAAGGTAATGATAAGTACAGCTAAAGGATTTTAGTTTGGACAATAAAAATATTTGTTAACATGAAGTATTTTTCATAGTTATCAATAGATATTTTCAGAATTGTTTCTGACTATTGCAACACGGAGGATTTGTGTATATGTACGTATAGTGGATTGAATTTACCTTTCATCCTCATTGGTTAAAATTGATGATTAATCCAAACGATTTAGATTTGGTAATTCTGGCTGGAGTTAAATCGGACTTGGGATCAAATCCGCCTATATACGTATTGCAATGTTAGCCAATGAAAACAGAGTTGGATTTTCACTACACAAATCCGTCGTAATTGTCTGAATTTGTTGAGTCCAATTGATTTTCTAGAGGCGACTTATACTCGTTTAAAATATCTGTGAGTTCAAACTTGCTTCCCTAAACGCAAGTTTGTTGTTTTGTGGCACTATTCAACTCGGATTATCTTTTCTTATTTAGATGTCTAATCATTTGTTGATTGTTCCAAGTGTGAAAGTGAAATATGGGATTATTAAAGGTGTGCTGTATTTTTTTATCTTTCATTTGAATGAACCGACTAATTTTATTTAATTGACATGTTTCGCTTTCATAAGCTTTACAGCATATAACCCAGTATATAATTTACAATTCTTTATTAAACCGAATATAATAATCAAAGCCTCTTAGATATATGATAAATTGAAATCGGAATGGCTATATACAAAAATTTATTGTACTAGATGATTAAAATTTGAAGTTTGACTGAATGTTAAAGATATATAGCTTTAAAATCTTAGCAATTCAAAACTTTTCAGTATTAATTAATTTGACAATACTACAAGGATTTCTTGGACTAGCTTTTTAGATTAATACTTCATTAAAGATTTTGCAAAAATTGCTACACTATTATATTAATTCATGAGAAAAGAATAATCTTTCACGTTGTTACAGCCTGGAATTATCCCTAATTCCTTAATTTCTTAATTTTAGTCATGTGATAAAACATAGATTGTAGAGATAGCAGAGTTCTCAGATATATTAACATTATTTACTATATCATATTTATCTAACATGTATAACATATCTTATATTGTAATAACTTAATCATAAAAATATTTTATATAAAT